GGAGCCAGAGTCTGCGCAGTAGAGATTCGTTTGGAGCCAGAGTCTGCGCAGTAGAGATTCGTTTGGAGCCAGAGTCTGCGCAGTAGAGATTCGTTTGGAGCCAGAGTCTGCGCAGTAGAGATTCGTTTGGAGCCAGAGTCTGCGCAGTAGAGATTCGTTTGGAGCCAGAGTCTGCGCAGTAGAGATTCGTTTGGAGCCAGAGTCTGCGCAGTAGAGATTCGTTTGGAGCCAGAGTCTGCGCAGTAGAGATTCATTTGGAGCCAGAGTCTGCGCAGTAGTGTAGTGAGGTGGAACCGCGGAATCAAACTCTCGCCAAAACTCCCGCAGACCCAATCAACCATAACGACACGCCCTGTTTTTACAGCATCAAATTACTAGCTAAAATCAAACTTATCACAAAAATGAACAATTGAACATATATCAGCGTGATAACAACTACCTTAAATGACCAAAACCATCTTTCGGAAATTGTATTGGAAGTGTAATTAGTTTTTTTATTTTGACTCAAGTCCCATTCGTTTACATGGAGAAGGCGGGGTTTATTACCTGTACTGCAGCCAGCCACCAGGGGGCGATCAAAGAGCCCGCTTCACTTTTTAGGATGTGTGAGGCACACCCGATACTAACAGCCGATCCGCATACAAAGTGACGTTATAGTTCCCCCACTCTATAAACAGCCGGTAGAAGCAACATGACAGAGCGAGAGAACCGGAGTTTAGCCATACATATGGGAAGCCAAATGCACTGAAAGTGGGATGAAACAGCGCGATGTTACAGAGTATTCGGCACGGATCAATTGACCGAGCCACGCGACAGCGCTACCAAACGAATATCGCGCTACGAACGGCGCAAACTAATCTCACAAGCACGGCGCTGATCAGTTAAAAAGTACTTAATGTATGCACACAAATACGGTTAAAATGCTAAGGACTATAACGACATGACATTCACAAAGGAGTTTGGAGTGATACACGTATTTAGGTAGATTTTGAGGCGCATTGCCTTGAAAAATTAAAGTAACCCACAGCGTCCTCAGCAAGTCTTACAAACAAACACAGAGCATCATAGAATGATATGAAGGTAACAGCATTTTCACTTTTGGGTGAACTGTTCCTTTAAATGTAATAACAAATTTAATATCTAGTATAAAAGATAATATATTTAGATACAATAGATGCTAACACTTGCAAATGCAAACAAAAAAGATATGGTGCCCAAAATCCATTTTCTGTGTTGTTGGACATGATATGTTATGTCCTCACTGGCTTATATTGTACCTTCTGCATACACTGAATTCAATTCAATTCAATTCAATTCAATTCAATTTTGAAAGAAATTGCTAGTAAGTTTTACAAATAATTACAAAGAAATGGCAAGTAACGTTGAATTAAACAAGTAGAAAGACTGAAATAGTATTTTCTTGCAAAACGTTTTACTTAAAAAAAATCATCAATTACAGTGTACTTTTAGTAATTTAATACTAACAAATAACACAATTTCTTTTACTTCCTTCCAAGTTGGACTTACCTTCCAAGACGACCTGAACTAAGTCTTGGGTGGACATCTTGCCATTTCGAGCAAAGCACTGATACGCTCCTCCATCGCTCTTGGCCATTCCTTCCATCACCAGGTTCTCGTTGTTGATGCCCGTTATACGTACATTTATACCCTGATAGATCTTCTCACCATTCCTGTACCAGGTGATTTCATACTCGTCAGAGCCAGTCACACTGCAGAACAGCGACACTTGGCTACCCACGCTCCCTCTCACCTTCCGGGGACTCACCACTGCTTTCAGAGGCTCTGGGGGAGATGGAAACACACATACATAGACAACAATACACTATCAGTTATAATAATTATGTCTAAATTCAGTTAAATTGACTACATCATCACTTATCCTCCACAATTGCTAGAAAACATCTTTGTTGACAAACACCATGGTAGTCATTTTGTTTTTGTTTTAAGCAATGGAGATACTTTACAGGTGAAAATGAGTTTTCATTTAATTTATTTCATAATTGCTTATTTTCCTGTTTATAATTGTGAAGCTGCTTTGAAACAATCGGTATTATGTAAAGTGCTATATAAATAAATGTGACTTGTCTGAGATATTAATAATCCAAACTTTGGATCAGGGTTATTATCATTAACTAAAACTGTAAACAAGACATTTTTGTTAAAAATATAAAAAAAATTAATATTAACAGAAAAAAAAGTGACCCTGGACCACAAAACCAGTCATACGTCGCACAGTTATATTTGTAGCAAGAGCCAACAATGCATTTTATGGGTCCAAATGATCGATTTTTCTTTTATGCCAAAAATCATTAGGATATTAAAGGGGTCATATGATGCGATTTCAATTTTTCCTTTCTCTTTGGAGTGTTACAAGCTCTTGGTGCATAAAGAAGATCTGTAAAGTTGCAAAGACTAAAGTCTCAAATCCAAAGAGATATTGTTTATAAAAGTTCAGAGTCAGCCATACCTACCTAAAACGGCTCATTCTAACACGCCCCCACATATCTACCTCACTATGTGGGAAGATTTGCATAACGCCGCCCAAATGTTCACGCAAAGAAAGATGGCGTAACTTTTATTCTCACTGTAGTATTGTTGACGCTGCAGCCATGTCGTGAAGGCACTGTGTGCTTCGTTGTGAAAGCGAAACTACTTTGTTTGGTCTTCCAAAAGAGGACGATATCTGCTTCGTTTTTTTTGTAAATTTCCTACCGTAACTATATCAAATGTAACTTTTGATTAGTAATATGCATTGCTAAGAACTTAATTTGGACAAATTTAAAGATGATTTTCTGAATATTTTGATTTTTTTTCACCCTCAGATTCCAGATTTTCAAATAGTTGTATCTCAGCCAAATATTGTCCTATCCTAACAAACCACCAATGAAATACATCAATGAAAAGCTTATTTATTCAGCTTTCAGATTATGTATAAATCTTGTTATGGCTGGTCATCCATTATGACTGGTTTTGTGGTCCAGGGATTTATATATATATACAGTGGGTACGGAAAGTATTCAGACCCCCTTAAATTTTTCACTCTTTGTTATATTGCAGCCATTTTCTAAAATCATTTAAGTTATTTTTTTTCCTCATTAATGTACACACAGCACCCCATATTGACAGAAAAACACAGAATTGTTGACATTTTTGCAGATTTATTAAAAAAGAAAAACTGAAATATCACATGGTCCTAAGTATTCAGACCCTTTGCTCAGTATTTAGTAGAAGCACCCTTTTGATCTAATACAGCCATGAGTCTTTTTGGGAAAGATGCAACAAGTTTTTCACACCTGGATTTGGGGATCCTCTGCCATTCCTCCTTGCAGATCCTCTCCAGTTCTGTCAGGTTGGATGGTAAACGTTGGTGGACAGCCATTTTTAGGTCTCTCCAGAGATGCTCAATTGGGTTTAAGTCAGGGCTCTGGCTGGGCCATTCAAGAACAGTCACAGAGTTGTTGTGAAGCCACTCCTTCATTATTTTAGCTGTGTGCTTAGGGTCATTGTCTTGTTGGAAGGTAAACCTTCAGCCCAGTCTGAGGTCCTGAGCACTCTGGAGAAAGTTTTCGTCCAGGATATCCCTGTACTTGGCCGCATTCATCTTTCCCTCAATTCCAACCAGTCGTCCTGTCCCTGCAGCTGAAAAACACCCCCACAGCATAATGCTGCCACCACCATGCTTCACTGTTGGGACTGTATTGGACAGGTGATGAGCAGTGCCTGGTTTTCTCCACACATACCGCTTAGAATTAAGGCCAAAAAGTTATATCTTGGTCTCATCAGACCAGAGAATCTTATTCAGGTGTTTTTTAGCAAACTCCATGCAGGCTTTCATGTGTCTTGCACTGAGGAGAGGCTTCCGTCGGGCCACTCTGCCATAAAACCCCGACTGGTGGAGGGCTGCAGTGATGGTTGACTTTCTACAACTTTCTCCCATCTCCCAACTGCATCTCTGGAGCTCAGCCACAGTGATCTTTGGGTTCTTCTTTACCTCTCTCACCAAGGCTCTTCGCCCCCGATAGCTCAGTTTGGCCGGACGGCCAGCTCTAGGAAGGGTTCTGGTCATCCCAAACGTCTTCCATTTAAGGAATGGAGGCCACTGTGCTCTTGGGAACCTTAAGTGCAGCAGAAATTTTTTTGTAACCTTGGCCAGATCTGTGCCTTGCCACAATTCTGTCTCTGAGCTCTTCAGGCAGTTCCTTTGACCTCATGATTCTCATTTGCTCTGACATGCACTGTGAGCTGTAAGGTCTTATATAGACAGGTGTGTGGCTTTCCTAATCAAGTCCAATCAGTATAATCAAACACAGCTGGACTCAAATGAAGGTGTAGAATCATCTCAAGGATGATCAGAAGAAATGGACAGCACCTGAGTTAAATATATGAGTGTCACAGCAAAGGGTCTGAATACTTAGGACCATGTGATATTTCAGTTTTTCTTTTTTAATAAATCTGCAAAAATGTCAACAATTCTGTGTTTTTCTGTCAATATGGGGTGCTGTGTGTACATTAATGAGGAAAAAAAATTAACTTAAATGATTTTAGCAAATAGCTGCAATATAACAAAGAGTGAAAAATTTAAGGGGGTCTGAATACTTTCCGTACCCACTGTATATAGGGCAAAAGCACATCAAAATGACAAAAACTAAAAAATGAACTGAAAACAGAAAATACTAAATACTAAGCACTGCTTTGGACGGAACGCAGCAAGTAAAGACTTGTTAGCTAATAGCAGCCCATTCACACTTGTGTGCTGACTAATGATGCTCAACTTAAATTTCTTGGCACACAGCAAACACAATTTAAATTTTAATCGCTTAAAGGTATCATTTACATTAATAGTTTTGGTTTGCAAAACAACAGTGAAAAGATTTGCCAAGATTTAATCTGTCAAAGGGGACTTTTCATGAAAAGTTTAAATACAAACCTCTGAAAAAGCTAGATCGTTCAGATGTTGTAATAGATGGTTAAATACTGTCACAAGATATCTTACGTTTAACCGCCAGCCGTCCGACCACTTTGGCATTCCCGAAGCTGTTCCACACCTCACACACATAACTGCCTGCATCACTGGGTCGTGTGGCCTCGATGAGAAGGCCCGATACACTCTGGTGGTACCGGCTGTCTGATTCTAAGGGGCTGTTGTCCCTCAGCCAGCGATACCTGGGTGTGGGGTGACCGGATGCTTTACATGGGAGCTCCACCCGATGACCCACCATAACCTCCCTCCGTTCAAACCCATCCAGAATCACTGGAGCTGAGTCCACAGGTTCTAAAAGAGAGTGAGAGAACATACATTTTCTTTATCATCATTTGAATATCCTGATTTGGTGGTCAATTAATGTGAACAATTGTTAAAAAAGGGTTCTTATAATCGTCAATGTTAAAAACCGTTGTGTGGCCATTTCTGAAGGATCATGTAACACTGAATGCTGCAGAAAATTCATCTTTGCCATCAGAGGGATAAATGACATTTTAAAATATATGAAAAAAGAAAACAGCCATTTTAAATTGTAACAACATTTCACTATTTGTACAGTATTTTTGATCCAATAAGGTATCAGATACAGTGCATGAACATGGAAGTAAACTACAACACTACTTCCATATAGAGATAAATAAGAGACCACAGTAAATGTAATTTTCACTCCAACAGAAAAAGAAAATCGTGCTTGTCCTTGTGGTGGCAAACACCCAATCTGTCTTCCCATGACATAATTTTCCACTGACTCCAGAGTAATTAGTCTCATCATTTACAGCTCAGGTGATTGGCTCAAAACAACCTGGTTGCAGATCTGACCATGAGCTGCCATGAGCAAAGATCAAATTGTGAATTTAAAATTGTATACCTCCTGGTTCTACCCAAGCAAATACCATTGAGATAAATGGGAAGCCAGGCTTTACTGGCTGCAAACTTGGTTCCCTTTCAGTCGGTCACTCTTGACGAATTGGGATCTCGCTTAGAGGGACCAATCTACTTCGAGTGTAAACTAAACGAGCCAATGCACATTGGCATGCGATTATTGCATCCAGCTGCTGCTGATCACAGCGTGAGTATAAATAGGCAGCAGATGCAGCGCATATTCAGCTTTTCGCTTCGGAGCTGAGCGATCACATCGTTCTGCTCCTGACTACTCTACTGAGAGAAGAAGACTGAATGAGTTCAGCGTGCTCTTGGAGAGCTCTTCGTGTTGGCGGACGGCGCTTCAGCGGTGGTGGTTTCCCGTGTCGAGTGGGTTGCACACATCAGGTTGCACTACCCCCTGTTTGTGTTGCAGATGATCATCTCCCCTGTGCGCCTCAGCACGCTAAAAGAGCTTTTCCCTAAAAGAGCAATTTCGGGTACGTCTTTTTAAAGACGACGTTGCGTGGCAAACTTGACGTTACGTCCTTGTAAAGACGATGTGGGTCTTGCTATAGACAACGTATCACCCGGGCGTTTTTGGATGCGGTCGTTACCTGGTGCTGGGTGATGGTCACTATCGCTGCCTCTCGTGCCTGGGAATGAAGCACGCTGAGGTGGCTTTCGTGGATGACTCATGCTCCCATTGCGGGGGTATGACCATCTCGGAGTTGCGGACCAGACTCCGTTACCTGCAAAGGGGCGGAGTGCCCGTGCCACTGCCTAGATCTGGGGTTCCCTCTGGTGGCAACTGGGGGCGTCCTTTTTCTGGCAGTGGGCGGACTGGTCTTACGGTCACGGTGAGGAATTCACCTCCGGGGATGCCCAAGCCCGCCGGCACTTCGAAACCAGCGGAGCTCTCAAAAAGAGCAGGCTGGACCCTCCCGGGGGGTAACACCTGTTTCTTCGAGGCTCCCCCCGA